GTCGTTTCTTCGCTTTTTCGTTCACCGTGCTGACATTCAATTTCATTTTTTCGTTTATTCTCGTTCTCATAATATAATTACTTATTCCCGTTCTTTAATGGTCGTTGCCACCACACACGGTATTTTTGTTCTGTCGTTTTCTAATTTTCTACCTTTCTGCATGTTTTTCCTGTGTTGTTTTCTCGTTTTCATTTTTTTTTGGGTTGTTTTAACGTGAGTATTTTGGCGAAATACCGTGATCTTGCTTTGTCCGTCCGCTGTTCCTCGTCGTTTGATTTTTTCACTTTTGGGGTTATCCTCGTTTTCTGTCGTTTTCTCGTTATTTGTCTTTCTGCCTGCTTGGTTATTTTCATTGATTGTTGTCTGTTTTTTTATCGCTAGGTTATCGTATTTTTTTGTGTTCATGGCTATTCCTCGTTTTCGGGTTTTTTGGTGATCCCTTTATCATGTTTTCTTATTTTCTCGTCGTCATCCGTCCCCTCATTGCTTCATCTGTCTTCGGAATAACCGGTTCGAATACATGCTTTGAAATCAGCATTTCGAATAAGCTTCTGAATGTTGTTTATCGAATATCCCTGTAGGATCCTTTTGTCTTCGTCGGTTTGTCCTCCGTGCTTTCTAAGTACGTATGTCTTTTCAACGGATTTCAAAGTATATTGTATGTATGTGTGTGTCCGTGTGTGCCTGCGCATGTATCCTCTTGCCTGCCCGATTTTGCAGCTTGTGAGGTCTACGTATTTACAACGTATGTGGTATTTCTACTATATTTGGTGTTTTTTTCGAATTTTATCTTTGGTATATCATCGTTTTGTAATTTTTTTTTTAAGCGTTTTCTTTATTGTTACTCTCTTTTCTTATCCCATGTCTTGCATCAATCTCTTGCTGCTTGTTCTGTTTGACAAAGTATATCGTTTTGTTAAACATCTTCTTCGTTTGCTTTTACCTCGTCAGTCTTGCCTGCTCATGGTGTACTTAGTGCTCTTGTTGGTTTGTGCCCATTATGTTGTGAGGTGTACTTAGCCCCTTGTTGGTTGACGTACTTGATGGCGTATATTGCAAGGGTTTAGGGTTGAGGGTTTAGGGTTTAGGGTAGAGGGTAGAGGATTTAGGGTTTAGGGTTCAGGGTTTGGGGTTGAGGGTTGAGGGTTGAGGGTTTAGGGTATAGGGTTTGGGGTATAAAGGGTTATGCTTTTTTATGTATGGATTCCAACGACTTCGAAGGTTCTGATTTTCGTGGAGTGTTTCTTTATGTCTGGTTTGTGAATGTGTCAGCAATTCCGTGTGTGTGCTGCCTTGTCTGAGATAGATAGATAGATAGATAGATAGATAGATAGATAGATAGATAGA